CACTGAGCCATCTCTCCAGCCCCCCAACCGCTTTTTAATGGCAAATGTACATAGCATAAAAGTTATTTGAGCCGGGCATGTTGGCGCATGCCTTCAATCCCAGCACTAGGGAGGCAGAGACAGGCGGATCTCTGTGAGTTCAAGGCCAGCCTGGTCTACATAGTGAGTTCCAGGACAGCTGGGGCTACAGGGAGACCCTCCCTCAAAAAAAAAAAAAAAAAAGTTATTTGAAAGTGTACCATTCAGTGGCACTAAATTCATTTACGGTCTTTCCCAACCATCACTCCTGTCTAATGGCAGAACTTTTTCATGACCACAAATAGAAATTTTGTGTTTATTAAGCAGTCATTCCCTGTCTCCCTGTCCCAGACTGACTCCCTAAGGATTGTGATGAGCTTTATGTCAGGCAGATTTGAATTCATCCTGGAGCTGCCCATTGTTCCTAGTGTGTATCTACTCAGCTCACTCCTGCGAACCCTTGGAGGATCTATTGTACGCTTCATTCTTGACTAGAAGAGCAATGCTTGGTAGTTACTGTTTGCTTTATAAAGCCAGTGACAAGCTGAGTGCATAGGTGTGCACTTCGAAGTCCATTTACTCAAGAGACAGGCAGGGGGATTGTGGGTTGGAGACCAACTAGGATGATGTAGCAAGTTATTAAAGATATTAAAAAAAAACATGAAAAAACTATAATCAATAGGCATGGTGGTGGCACATGCCTTTAATCCTAGTACTTGGGAGGCAGCAGCAGGAGGCTTTCTGTGAGTTTCAGGTCAGCTGGGGCTACAGGAAGACCCTATTTCAAAAAAAGACCAAACAACAACAAATCAGTAACCATGGTGGTGGGGGGGAGGCTTTAAATTGTGAGCTGTTGTGTTCAAATTGCTAATCTATTCTGATAAGTGTTAAACTAGGGAGCTTAACCTTGACTCATTGCTTAGGAAATAATTAAATTAGTGAATTAAATTAGTGAACTGTGAAACATAAAGCAGGTGTATGAAAAAGAGAACATGATCTGGGTGTTTTAATATATGCTGTTAGGGCCAGCGAGATGGCTCACTGGGAAAAGGCACTTGCCACAAAATCTGACCACCTGAGTTCAATTCCCCAACCTCACATGGTAGAAGGGGAGAACTGACTCCTGCAGGTTGTCCTCTGATCCCCATACGAATTCCACAGACAGACAGACAGACAGACAGACACACACACACACACACACACACACACACACACACAGAGTAAATAAAATGTAATTTAAAAATTAACAATTACTGCTGCCTGCCTTTCATCTCCAACATCCAGTTTGGTCTTAGGATACATCACAGTCCTTACAGAAGACAAAAGAAACTGGATTTTGATTGTTGTTTCTAGATCAGTTTAAAACTTGTGACAAACAGAAGTATTTCCAAGAAGGAAATTTAAAGGATATAGATTCAGACTCGATACAAGAAAGAATTTACTATTGATGTTGGGAGAGAGGGGACAGTCATGTGTGTATCTAGCACAGGCCATTTGAATTCTTTGAGATATCATAGAAAATTCATTTATCAACCTGAGACAAAAGGGGACATTATCTTTAAATCTTTCTACTTAGATAAAAAATACAGGTTTTTTGGGGGGGGGGCCTGGAGAGATGGCTCAGCGGTTAAGAGCATTGGTTGTCTTGCAGAAGACCTGGGTTCAAATCCCAGCACCCACATGGCAGCTAACAACTGTTCATAACTCCAGTCCCAGGGGATCTGACAGCCTCTGCTGTCCGCCGCGGGCATTGCACAACACGAGTGCGCTTACCTACATGCAGGCAATACACACATACACATAAAAAAAAAAACATAAAGTTTTTGTATTCCTATTATTCTTTATGGCCCTTGCCTCTGTCTAGTGACTGTTTATTGTCTGCCTTCCCCTTCAAAGCAGACTGCTCACCACTGTGTTCACAGTATTGTAAGGCTGCCTTGTGTTTTAACTGGCACCTAGTACAAAATTGCTTAATCATTATGTAAAATAAACAATAAGTACGTATAAATAGCTGTACAGCTTTTCTTTTTCTCTAATTGTAAAAGTACTTGTTCCTTATTGGAAGTTAAGAGAAGAGAATGTTTAAATTGGGGAGACGTTTATCAACAAAACCATATATCCCCTAAGAAGTGTGCTTCACTGAGGCCATGTTGAAGTTCAAGCTCAGTGGTAGAGCACGTGTTTGGCATGACTGAGACCCTGGGTTCAATCCAGCACTGCAAAAAACAACAGAATGGCATTCTCAAACCAATAAATAATGGAGATTCACTGCATTTGGCTTTTTCGGGTTTTGTACAGAAGATGCTGGCAAGGAAGAGTGGCCCCAGAGGGATTATTCCCGAGAACACAGGATCCAGAGCCAGACAATAAGTCCTTACGTTATCTGGGAGATCTTGCTTACCTCCTGTAGTTGGTGATACCATAATTAGGCCTGCATATTACCTCTGAACACTGCCTTACAAGGCACTTGGTGTAGCTCAGTTTATGGAGATTAGATCATGTACAGGAAGCTGGCTCTTTAGTTATCAGGCTCCACAGAGGAGACGTGAGGATTGTGGAAAATTAGGGTTCATTTGAAGGGATGGGGTCTGCTGGAAAACAGAGCTTTTTCCAGCCTGTGCGGGTGACCGTTTCTCATAAACAGTATTGATTCCTACCTCAGTACTCTATAAATAAGGATCTCTCTGAATTTTCCTTTCCTCGTCATTAAATAGAGCTGCTAAAACTAACTTTGGAGGATTTTTTTTTTGGATACTGGGTTTCTTTGTGCAGTCTTGGCTGGCCCTGGAACTCTCTAAGTAGACCAGGCTGACCTTGAACTCATAGAGATGCATTTGTCTAGCCTCCTGAGTGCTGGGATTAAAGGTGTGTCACCACATCCAGCCTAGGAGAGATTTTATAGGTGCACATTCTTGTGTTGGATGGCCACTGCAAGTATGTGGGGGTCAGAGGACTTGCAGGAGTCAGTTCTCTTCTTCCACCATGTGGGTCCTGGGGATTGAACTCATCAGGCTTGGTAATAATCACCTTTACCTACTGAACCATCTTATTGGTCCAAATTATAACTTTAATGAGCTAATTTTTTTTTTTTTAAACAGGATCATACTGTGTAGCCCTTGCTGACCTGGAACTCTATGTAGACCAGGCTGGCTGGGAACTCAGAGATCCACCTTCCTCTTGCTAGAATTAAAGGCATTGCACCACCACACCTAGCCAATGAGCTAATTCTTTAAAGAATCTAGCATATGGGGCTGGGGAGATGGCTCGGTGGTTAAGAGCATTGACTGCTCTTGCAGAGGATACAGGTTTGATTCCCAGCACCCACATGGCGGCTGCAAACCGTCCTTATCTCCAGTTCCAGGGGAATCCGATGCCCTCTTCTGACCTCTGTGGCATTGCATGAAATGGGTGCACTCACACACATGCAGGCAATACACCCATACACATAAAATAAAAATAATAAAATATATATATAAATATACATACATATATATCTATATAAAGAATCTAGCATAGTACCTAGAAGATTAAAAACAAGCAGCAATAATGAAAACCCTCCCGTAGTTCCTGGCGCACATTCTAAGGACATAACAACCACTGTCACCTTCTCTTTTCCTTTTTATCTTCATCGTAGATATAAGCAGATTTTAATGAAGTTATTATAAAAAGAATTAAATTTTGAAATCCTATTGTGCTTGGAGTTTTGAATAACATTGTGTATGCCCTTAGACACTTTAGATGATCTGTTTGGGATTATAATAATTGGTTTATTTCGTTCTTTCTGTTGCTATAAATAATCTGAAGGATAATGACTTACCGTTTTTATATTCACTGCAGTGTCCAGGACAGTACTTTGAATTTAATTTGGTTTTTGTTTTTGTTTTTTTGGTCTTTTTGAGACAGGGTCTCCCTGTAGCCCCAGCTGTCCTGGAACTCACTATATAGACCAGGCTGGCCTTGAACTCATGGAGATCCGCCTGCCTCTGCCTCCCAAGTGCTGGGATTAAAGGTGTGCAATAGCATGCCCGGCCTTGAATTTAATTTGTATTCAGAAAAAGCTTGTTGAATTGGCTGTATTTGTGCTAGACTTATATAACATAGTCATTGTTAATTAAAAAATCAATATCTGCTGGGTGTGGTGGCACATGTTTAAAATCCTAGCACTCAGGAGGTAAAAATAGGGTATCTCTGTGAGTTTAAGTTCGGCCTGGGCTATTGAGAGAGTTCCAGGCCAGCCAAGGCTATGTCTCAAAAAAATAAAAATAGGGACTGAAAAGATGACTCAGCAGTTAAGAGCACTGGCTGTTCTTGCAGAGGACTCGGCTTTGATTCCTAGCACCCACATGGTGACTAACAACCTTCTGAAACTCCGGTTCTAGGGGACCTGAAGCCCTCTTCTGTCCTTGGGCATTGCATGACATGGGTGTATACATAAAATAAAATTTTTTTAAAATTAATAAAATAAGCACAATAAAAGGGAGGGATTTACAGTAAGCTATGTTTTGTTTCAAATTTAGGTTTTAGGACTTTTTGTTGTTGTTGTCTATTTGTTTGTTTCCAGTGCTGAAGATTTAGTTCACAGGCCCTACAACTGAACTGCAATACCTTGTCCTTTAAATGCAGTTTTGTTTTTCTTCTTAATGAAATCTATTTAATTAATTGTTCCTGCTAGCAAGACTTCAGCATAGGACAGTTATTGTATGGATGACTGATAGAAAGATTAGGAGACTCAAAGGTCCTAGGAAAGGAAGAGGTCAGGCAGCGTGTTAATTTGCCCATACCGCTGGGCAAGTCTTCAGTCTGTGCGTGTGAGATGGGGCTCTAATTTGTTCTTCCTTCTTTCAGTCAACACATGGTTCCATTGCCATACTGAGCAGAGTCTTAGAAGAAAGTGTTAAGTAGGGCTCTACACTCTGCAGAATGTTGGTGTTGGGTGCTCTGGCTGGCACTTGTGGTGCATCTCACCATGCCCTTCTCCCTAGGTGTATGTCGTGGCAAATGAACCTCTCCCAGTGTTGCTGGATTCCCTGCTTCCGCTCCTTGGGGTGCTTTTTTCTCTCTACTGTTTTACCCAGCAAAGTGTGTCTCACATAAGGTAAACAAACAACTGTATTTGCTTATAAATAGAGTCTTACTTGTTTATAAATACTGATAAATTAGGCCACTTACTATTCCCTTTCAAAGTCAGAAACGTGTTTTGAGAGTCTTTTACTCTGCTTATCCAGAAAAGAAAGAGGACTTTGCAGATTGAAGAGAACAGGGTATAGTTTTCAGAATGCCTTTCCATAGCCTGTCCTGGACATCAGAGATGAAAGCTGTTTCCATGGATAAACATGGCACTGTTTGGTCAGTGAGCAATACTGCAGTTCTATGTCTAGGAAGGAGAAAATAGATGGGTCATCATGACCTGGTGGAGAGTTGGAAAACAAGCTTGAAAAGTTCAGATGTAAATGTAGCATATCATAACCTAATCTAAGATATGGTATTAATGATGCCATGGTGATTATAGAAAGAAGGAGTTTCTCAGTTATCCAGGAAATACCTTTTTGTGTTAGTTTGAAAATGATTCATTTTAGCCAGGTATGGTGGCACATGCCTTTAGTCCCAGCACTTAGGAAACAAAGCAGGTAGACCTCTGTGACATGGAGACCAACCTGGGATGGTCTGCATATTGAGTTCTAGGCTAGCTGGGACTACAGAATGAGACTCTGTCTCAAAAAAAAAGTCTCTCTCTCTCTTTCTTTCTTTTTTTTTTTTTTTTTTTTTTTGAGTTAGGGTCTCTTTTGTCTTTTTTGAGACAGGGTTTCCTTGTAGCCCCAGCTGTCCTGGAACTCACTATGTAGACCAGGCCAGCCTCGAACTCACAAAGATCCACCTGCCTCTGTCTCCCAAGTGCTGGGATTAAAGGCGTTGCGCCACCATGCCTGGCGAAAAAGTCATTTTGTATTAGCACTATTTCAGTAATTTGTGTCATTTCTTTCATATAGTAGGAGTTTATAGCCTTTCTAAAGTCCCATAGAATTCTGACTTGGGGAAGGCTAGGGATGTAGCTCAGTGGTACACATGCCTGGCATGTACAGGCCCTGAATGTGATCCCTAGCACTATGAGAAAAAAAGAAAAAAAGCAAGCAATAAAGCTATGGAATTCTGATTTTTGGTGCTTCCCCAAATATAATTAAATATGTAATAATAGTGCTTCTATATGAAGACTAAGTATGTAGCCAAGGATGACCTTGAACTGATCCTCCTACCTCCACTTCCCAAGTGCTGGGATTACAGGTATGCACCCCCAAGCCCATTTTATACAGTGCTGGGATTCAAACTCAGAGCTTCATGCATGTTAGACAAGCCCTCTACCAGCTGAGCTATATAGCCAGCCCAGCATGTTATTCAGAGCCTACACCTGACCTATTGGCTCTTTAGCACCCCACAGCCATAATTGTGAGAAAGAGTGAAGTGGATGATGGTGGCTCTGAATTAGGCTTCAAAGGACTGTCCATAACTTATTTTCCTTTAAAAAAAAAAAAAATCCCAAGTTTCCCCAGCACTGTTATGTTGTCAGCCAAGATTGACAAGGAGGTCACCCACTGTTGGTCCCACTGAGAGTAGATGGTTTTTGTTTTTTTTGGTCTTTTTGAATCAGGGTCTCCCTGTAGCCCCAGCTGTCCTGGAACTCACTATGTAGACCAGGCTGGCCTTGAACTCACAGAGATCCACCTGCCTCTGCCTCCCAAGTGCTGGGATTAAAGGCGTGCGCTACCACACCCAGCCCTGAGAGTAGATGGTTTTTATCAGTGAAAGCTTCATTCAGTGTGTGATCTAAAGGTAGTCATACACTTGGAATTTAAAAAAAAAAAATCATGTGCTGTTCATGTGGCATATCAGGGCTGTTTCTAGAGCCAAGAATTAGTCAGTCACTGGTGAATTCAGGGTATTTGCTTTCTGAAATTCACGAGATGCATGCTTCCCTCTCCTGGGTTTCCGTAGCAGTGGGTGATGGTGGTGGTTTTTGGAATGCAGCAGAACCTGGCAGTCTTTCTTTTTTTGTGTTAGCTTGTTAGATGCGTGGCATGAGATGACAAGCTCATTCATAACTGCTTTTTCTGCCAGGTCATTTTGCCAAGAGATCTTATTATGGATCCTGGGGAAGCTGGAAAGGAAGAAGGCAATTGCCAGCCTGAAAGGATTTGTGGGATTGGACAAAGCTGTGCCCTCTTTCCATCCTCAGTGTCAGTTTAGAGCTGCCACTCAGGGTGGCATTATGATTACTATCAAAGAGACCATGAGGTGAGTTCACCATCCTCTGTTGTACATTCAGTAGGCTGCTCTGTGACTCAGCCACTAAGAGGCGCTGATGGAAAAGAAACCAGGAAACTCAGACAGCCAAGGCACTTGCTATTTATAATCTCTAAAAGAAACCAGAGCCTTAAATGATCCTCTGGGTTTTATTCCAAGATACCAGCTAATAGAAGGTGCAGTTTACTGGAGCCTCGCAGCTCTGCATTATAGCAAACCCAGTTGATTCACAGGCTTTGCCAGTGAATCAGAGTAAAGGGCAGCACGTGTTCCCCTTAACACCAGAATAAGCCAGTTCTGTTTCCAAATCAAAATGGTATATATGTGAATACTCATGGCCTTATTCTTAAGGAAAATTGTCTGAACTCTATCTTCTTGGTAATTTTGTGGTAGGGGCTTCTGATATGAATAGATCAGAAAGTAATAGATGTTAGCGGTAGGGATAATTTATTTCTTCAACATCTCACAAGTATTATATCTTATTTTTTGTGGTGCTGAAGATTGAACCCAGGGCTACATGTGTGTTAGGTAACTGAGCTACATTCTCAGGCCCACCAAGTATTTATTTTAAATGAGTTCCACTTTCTGGGTGATCTGTAGAGAAAGCTGCTTTCGTAGAAACCTAAGTTCTTGACTACCAACCATGTAGTATTTAACTGGTCCAGTTACCCTATTCACATCCCAGTCAAAGTGTTGCTGTTTGTTGAAATGCCTAAATTTAATTTTATATTCATGGCCAACTTGGTAAATTTTCAAAACACACTCTCAATATGATGTACTTGAGAAAAAAACACATGGTATTCAAACAGAATTATCAGAACAACCTGGAGTTTATTGAGAATTGAGCATTAGCAGGTTTGGGGTTAGAACTAAGCATACAGAGTGAAAGAGTTTAAAATTATTGCCACAATTTATTTTGATTTGTGCGTGTGTGTGTGTGTGTGTGTGTGACTATGTACCACATGTGTGGGGGTACCCTGAGAGACCAGAAGAGTATAGATCCCTTGGAACTGGAGTCACAGGCTGTTGTGAGCCACCCAGTGTGGGTGCTGGGATCTGAATTTAGATCCTCTGGAAGGGCAGCCAGTGCTCTTACCCCTGAACCATCTCTTCAGCCCCTAAAGTGGTTTTTTTTTTTTTTTGGTCTTTTTGAGACAGTGTCTCCCTGTAGCCCCAACTGTCCTGGAACTCACTATGTAGACCAGACTGGCCTTGAACTCACAGAGATCCGCCTGCCTCTGCCTCCCAAGTGCTGGGACTAAAGGTGTACGCCACCACACCCGGCTAAAGTGTTTTTTAAATAAACATGGTGTGGGCTGGAGAGATAGTTCAGTGGTTAAGAGCACTGGCTGCTCTTATAGAGGACCAGGGTTCAGTTCCCAGCACCACATGATGGCTGACAACTCCAGTTCCAGGGGGTCCAACGCCCTCTTCTGATCTCCACAGGCATTGCACGCACAGATTCACTTACATATATCCTGGCAAAACATTCATATACATAAAAAAATTAAAATTAAAAAAAAGGGAACTAGAGAGATGACTCAGTGGTTAAGAGCACTAACTACTCTTGCAGAGAACTTGGGTTTGAATCCCAGCACCCACATGTTGGCTAACAACCATCTGTAACTCGTTTCCAGGGATCCAACGCCCACTTGTGACTGCCACAGGCATTGCGCAACACAGGTGCACTTGCACACATGCAAGCAATGCACTCATACTCATAAAATAAAATGAATAAAAAATAAAATAAAACACCTTGGAACTATTTTGACCTGGGGCCAATTCAGAGGGAGTAGAGAGAATTCTAAAGTGTTTAGTTTACTGTTTGTAGCTTATTGCGATTTTTTTTTCTTTTTTTTGTCTTTTTGAGACAGGGTCTCCCTGTAGCCCCAGCTGCCCTGGAACTCACTATGTAGACCAGGGTGCCCTTGAACTCACAGAGATCTGCCTGCCTCTTCCTTCCAAGTGCTGGGATTAAAGTCATGCGCCACCACGCCTGGCCTTGCTTATTGCAATTTGAACAACTATTCAGTGCCCTTCTTATAGTGCACATATCTATGAAAAGCCAATGTCCCTATTGAGACTGTATTTTATAGTACGAAAATGTAATTAGTAAGCAGCGATTAAATGAATCTCCATCCACTGCCAGAAGCAACCACTCCTTAAAACCTGGGGTGTCTGTTTGGATTTTGAGGTATCCATAATCCCCTTGACATTATGCACAAAAAATTTCATATGAACACCTGTGTCTTTCAAAAAGTAAGGCCCATGGACACTTAAAACAGTCTGTGTTTCTGGCTGGGCGTGGTGGCGCATGCCTTTAATCCCAGCACTTGGGAGGCAGAGGCAGGTGGATCTCTGTGAGTTCAAGGCCAGCCTGGTCTACATAGCGAGTTCCAGGTCAGCTGGGGCTATAGGGAGACCCTGTCTTAAAAAGACCAAAAAAAAACCAAAACAAAAACAGTCTGTGTTTTCAAAAGATTGACAACCAGTTGACTATAGAAGAGTGTGTTTGTGTGTGTGTGTGTGTGTGTGTGTGTCTGTGCACATGTGTGTGTGCATGTGTGTAGTCATTTATGCTACAGGCCCTACTAGTTCCCCAGGGGCAGGGGCAGGCAGCCTATTCTGTGAGATCACTTACCTTTTACCTTGCCATTAGCCCAACTTAAGTTACCAGTAAGAAGTTGGTTTAAAGAAACTGAATGAGCAGCTTTGATTTCATTATCTTTGGAACCAGAACTTTTACTTTTTTGTTGTTTGTTGGTTTTGGTTTTTTGAGACAGAGTCTCACTATGTAGCCAAGCCTAATCTGGAACTCAAGTTTGAGGTTGGCCTCAAACTTGAAGCAATCCTCCTGCTTCAATGTTTCAAGTGTTATGATTGTAGGGATGAGCCTCCACACCCACCATGAAAGCCTCTTCATAAATCTTTTTCTATTTGAGCAAATGACTGTGCAGGCCTGGTAGCTTAGCTTCCAAGAATAAATACTGAGCAAATGATTGTACAGGCCTAGTAGCTTAGCTTCTAAGAATAAATACTGTGCAGTCTTCAGCAAAGAGATATAGGAGAATAAATTGACCAAGGTCTCTCAAATGTTTAACTGTGTAGAAATAATGGTACTTTGGAAAGTTATAAATTATAAGGTTTCAGGTTGTCCAGATGACTCAGCAAGTAGAGGCACCTGAACTCTGGCCCGATGGCCTGAGTTGAATTCCTGGATCCCACAGATGGTTAGAGGAAACCAACTTCTGAGAGGTGTTTTCTGGCCTCCACATGTGACTACATGCCATGGCACACATATTCCCCCCCACACACACAAATACAAATAAATAAATAACATTTAAGAAAATACGAGGTTTCAAGAAAAAGAAAAATCTCTCAGTGACAGTGCCAGGAGCAATCTTCCCCTGTGTTGCAGTGATGAAGATGAGGAGGAGGCCTTGTACCAGAAGATGTCCTCAGAGCAGAGCCAGGTGGAGCATCTTGGAGACTTGCTGTCCCATTGCCAGGAATGTGGTTTGGCGGGAGACTTCTTCATCTTCTGTCTGAAGGTAAAAACCCCACACAGTTCACAGTCAACTTTATTCTGAGGTCATTCTAGGAGGACCTTTGAAGTTCCAAGGCATTCATCATTTTAGCTCCAAAAACTTAGGTTCCAATTTAGGGAAAATGAGCAGAAGATAAAGAGTAATTTGTTTGTTGACAGCCTTTGGGTTAGAAGAAAAAAGAAATTCATGAGTGGTTCTGATAGGATCTCACTGCTTCACAAGGCAGTCTACACTGAAAATTTGGAGACAACAAAGTAGCCCCATTGATCTATGAAAGAGTTAATCGTTGCTCCGTGTTGACAGAGAGAACTCTTTTGAAGTTAATAGCAGGTTTACAGCCACAGAGTAAGCCCTTATCCTTTCTGACTGGTGTGCTGTCAGGTATTTGGAAGGGAGACTTAACCACTCTGCCTCCCTCATTTTACTCTGTAACCACTTGAAACCTTTTCCGAGTTTCTTTCTGAATGTTGGTCGGTTGTTGCTTCCTTTGGCCCTAACCTCTAGGAGTAACTTGTACCCCATAACACTAGCCCTGTCTATTGTCTGCTGCTGGCCTCCAGCTTTGCCTTTTCTACTTTACCCTCCAGTGTAGCCTAGGAGACTGTCTGGAGTTTAAGGTTGGGTAGTGGGTGAGAATGCAAGGCTGACATTTCTAGAACTTTGTTCAAAAAGTCCAAATTAGCCAGGTATGGTGGCACATGCCTGTAATTTAGCACTCTGGGAAGTAGAGACAGGATTTAGAGTTTCATGCCAGCATAGGCAACATAATGAGACTCTTTCTTTCCTTTTTTTTTAAAAAGACAGTTTTCTGAAGCCCTGACAGGCCTCAGACTCACAGAGACCCTCCCAAGTGCTGGGATCAAAGGTGTATGCCACCATACTCAGCATGAATCTCGTTCAAAAAACAGGGTAAATGTGTCTATTGCCAAACCTACACAATAAATAAATAAAATAAATAAATAAATAGGTAAGTAAATAAATAAGTAAATAAATAATAAATATGAGAGGGAGAGAGAAAGAAAGGTAGGTCCGTTGTGGTGTCATGTACCTTTAATCCCAGCACGTGGGAGGCAGAGACAGGCAATCTCTGGGAGTAGTTCCTGATCTATATAGTGAGTTCCAGGTGAGCCAGGGCTACACAGTGAGACTGTCTCAAAAAAGCAAAAACAGCTGGGTGTGGTAGCACACAACTTTGATGCCGGCACTCTCGAGGTAGAGGCAGGTAGATCTCTATGAGATTGAGGCCAGCCTGGTCTACATAGCAAGTTCCAGGTCATCTAGGACTACAAGGAGATCCTGTCTCAAAAAAATAAACAACCCCCCCCAAAACCCCACAAAAATAAATGAATAAAGAAATAAGCACTAAACAGAATAATGATAATAAATAGAAATTAAAAACAACACTAAACCAAAATGTTTTACTTTTAATTAAACTCCAGCTTCCTTTTTTTTTAATTTTTAAAAAAAATTTTTTTATGTATATGTGTGTATTGCCTCATGTAAGTAAGTGCACCTATGTCGTCCAATGCTCGTGGAGGACAGAAGAGGCGCTTGGATCCCCTGGAACTGGAGTTACAGTTGTTAGCTGCCATGTGGGTGCTGGGATTCGAACCTAGGTCTTCTGCAAGAACAGCCAGTGTTCTTAACCAATGAGCCATCTCTCCAGCCCCCTCCAGCTTTCTTTTTGAGACAAGGTCTCATATACCCCAGACTGGCCTCCTTGACCTGGAGTTAAGGACAGTTGTTAGCCACCATTCCTTGTCTGGCTTCCTAGGGCATTGCACACATTGATGCACTTACGTACATAAATGTAGGCAACACACTCATACACATAAAATAAAAATAATTTTTTTAAGATAAGAAAACTGCAGGCTGGGCATGGTGGCGCATGCCTGTAGTCCCAGCACTTGGGAGGCAGAGGCAGGTGGAGCTCTGTGAGTCAAGTCCCAGTTTCAAAAAGACCAAAAAATAAAAGAAAAATGCCCACAGACAGCCCCACAGACCATTCTGATGGAGGAAGTTCATCAGTTGAGATTCCCTCTTCCTAGGTGACTCTAGTTTGTGTCAAATTGACAAAAACTAACCAGCACATCCCTTAACAGACTTCCTATTTTATATTATGTATTTATGCAAAGTAGCATTCTTAGCATTGCCAGTTATAAAATCAAAATGTCCAGCTACTCTGAAAAGCACTGATGGTGCTGTATGTCCTACAGTATCATATATTCAAGATATAATTCTTTCTGTAAAGCTAACCAAGTACATCTATCTCATTAGCAAACAAATTTGTTCATCTTTAATAAGTGATAAAGCATATGAATGCCAAAGAATTGTTTTAAAATAAATTTCTTTGGGGCTGGAGAGATAGCTCAGCATTAAGAGCACTGACTGTTCTTGCAGAAGACCCAGGTTCAGAGCCCAGCTCCTACTACTAAAACTCCAGTTCCAGGGCCGAAACTCCAGTTCCAGGGGATCTGACAGCCTCTTCTGTCCTCTGAGGGCATTGCACGACACGGGTGCACTTACCTGCACACAGGCAATACACGCATACACATAAAATAAAAATAATAAATAAAATATTTTGGAACTGGAGTTACAGACAGTTGTTAGCTGTCATGTGGGTGCTGGGATTCAAACCCAGGTCTTCTGCAAAAGCAGTCAGTGTTCTTAACCACTGAGCCATCTCCAGCCCCCTTTATAATTTATTATCACTATGTGTTTGACTCACACACCTATTTTATATACCTGCATACCTGGGGTTCTTTAAATTTTCTTGGGGATAAGGGGTCTTGGTGGAAATGTTTAGGAAGGCCTGCTTGAAACCGGGGAAAGTCCACCTTGACATGATTGACATTTGGGTTAGATAAGTGTGTTCCTGTGGTATGGTTATCTTGTTCTTTCTGAGATATTTAACAGCATCTGTGACCTCTACTCACTAAATGCCTGTGTTAACCTTCAATTATGACAACCAAAAATGTCCTGCAGACACTGCAGAATGTCCCCTGGGGAGCGGAAATTACCCAGGCACAGTTGAACACCATCACTCTCAGCTGTCAGCTACTGTGGTAAAGCGCTAATTGTTAGGGAATTTACGGTTTTCCCTTTCCAAGGAAATTTACAATGTAGAAAGGTAGTTGAAAGCTTATCAAACCCACAGTAATGAATTGTCCATCAATAGATACTTAGTTCTAAATACCTTAAAGGTAGGGCATCTAATGGTTTCTAAAAGGACTTTAATTATATTATCTGAAGTTTCTATTCAAGGAAGGCTAGTGATAGAAATTGTAAAAATCTTGATAAAGTAAAAGCTTGTCAAATAAGTTCTTTTATGCTTATTTATTGTGTGTGTGTGTGTGTGTGTGTGTGTGTGTGTGTGTGTGTGCATGTGTATGTGTGTAAGCATATAGGTGCCACTATGTGGTGGTCAGAGGACAACTTGCAGGAGTTAGTTCTATCTTTCCACCATGTGGGTTCTGGGGATTGAACTCAGATCATCAGATGTAGCATCAAGCACCTTTACCTGATGAGCTATCTCACACCAGTTCCTCAAACCAATTGTGTGTGTGTGTGCATGTGTGTGTGTGAGAGAGAGAGAGAGAGAGAGAGAGAGAGACAGACAGACAGACAGACAGACAGACAGACAGAAATTTTCTTTTTAAATTTTTACTTATTTTATGTGTATGAATATTTTGCTTGCATGTATTTAAGTGTACCCATGTGTACAATACTGGAAGAGGGTGTAGGTTCCCTAGAACTGGAGTTGAGGACAGTTGTTAACCACCTTGTGGGTGCTGGGAACTGAACCCAGATCCTCTGCAAGAACAGGCAGTGCTCTCACCACTGAGCCATCGCTCCAGCCCCATGTTAGAAGTCTTCAAAGTCCACATCTGCTAGCACGATGTGCATCTTCTACTGCTTCTGTTCTTCAGTACTGGGAATTGAACTCGGGGCCTCATCTACACTAGACAAAGCACTCTACCACTGTGCTATACTCTGAGCTCTTTTTATATTTTTATTTTGAAGCAAGGTTTTACTAAGTTACCCAGGCTTGGGGCTTTGAATTCTCTCTGTGGCCTGGGTGGGCCTCCAAGTTGTAGTCCTCTTCCCTCACCCTTCTGAATAGTTGAGATTATAGGTGTGTGTTACCAGGCTTGGCTTATGTTTTTCATTTAATAGTATCTTTAAAATCTAAGCTGGATATGGTGGCACATGCCTTTAATCCCAGCACTTGGGTGGCAGAGGCAGGTGGATCTCTGTGAGTTCAAGGCCAACCTGGTCTACAGCTGGGACTACAGGGAGATCCTGTCTCAAAAAGATTAAAAAAAAAAAAAACTATGTAGCTAGGTGTAATGGTGCATACCTTTAGTCCTAGTGCCCCTTTAATCCCAGTACTCAAGAGGCAGAGGCAGATATCTGAATTTGAGGCCAGCCTGGTCTCCATGAGTTCTGGGCCAGCCAGGGCCAGCTACATAGTGAGACCCTGTTTCAGAAAACAAGCAAACAACTTCCAACCTATGTATCTAAATACACAGATTTAGTTCCTTTATTTTAACAACTATGATGCAGTAATACATCACTTTCAGTTTTAATATGTGTGGTGAAGCAAGCACAGTGTGTCACTCTCTTCTCATTACTGGCAATCTTCCTTGCCTCCAGGTAGGGGTTGTTAGGAATAGTATTGCAGCAGGCACAGGGTATTTCCTTGCATGTACATTTCAGCTTCCTGGGTATGTGTGCCATGCCCTTAGTGCTGCTGACCTGTCCTTCACTTTTTCTTCCTGTGTTTCCAGGAGTTGACTCACCTGGCTGTGGGAAATGAAGCAGAGTTCAAACCTAAGCCCTCCTCTGACACAAGCCTCCTGGAGTTAGAGCAACACCGAGCTCTGCTCATAGAAAGCCAAGGGCAGAAGCTGCTGGTCCTTCAGGTGCTGGCGGTGCTATGTGAGAGGATGTCTGAGCAGATATTCACAAACGTCACTCAGGTCAGTGCTTCCCATTCTGGATGGAGCCTGGTGATAGTTCGATTTCTTTACATTCTTTTCCCCCAAATGTCCAAAAATGTTGTTCAGAGTACTATTTGATGGTACCTGTCTCAATATTTCTTGGAATTCTGATTAAACGTGAAAGCTATTGGGCTCACACTAGGCTGACGGAATTTATAGGTCCTGGGATTCCATGTGCTTAACAAGCTGTTGAGGTGATTCTCATGCATATAACACTTTGAGAACTGCTTTACATATTTGTTACACTATAGTGATATTCAGCTTTGAGTGCAAATAAAATCACTAGCATTTTTGTTGAAATACTGATACCTGGCTCCCCTTTAATGATTCTGATTTAGCATGTCTACTGCATGAGAGCCTGAAGGTCTTTATTTTTTAAAAGCTCCCCATGTATCAAAAGTTGTGAATGAAGGAGTGGAGAGATGGTTAAGAGCTCTAACTGCTCTTGCAGAGGACCTGGGTTCAGTTCCCAACATCCACATGGTGGCTAACAACCATGTAACTCCAGTTCCAGGGCATCCAATTCTCTGTTCTGGCCTCCTTGGGCATTGCATACATATGATGCATTTATATACAAGCAGGCAAAGCACTTGTATACATTTAAAAAAAATGTTGTGAATGAGGGACTGAAGGGATGGCTCAGTGAATAAGAAGAGTGTGTGCCATGCAAGGATGAGAACCTGAGAGTGGATCCCAGCACCCCTGTAAACAGCTGGGTGTGACCCCACTGGTGCCTGTAACCCCAGCTCTGGGGGGTATGCAGAGACAGGAGGATCACTGGGACTTACTGGCCACCAGTTCAGGCTCAGTGGGAGACTCTGTCTCAAAGGAATAAGGGGGAAAGTGATAGAGCAAGATGCCAACATCCTCTACTGGTCTCCTTGCACACACAGATGTATATACCTGCACACATATGCCACACACATCTCGCCCACATACATATACACATTAACACATACACACACCACAAAGCTGCGAATGATTGGAATTTCTTTTCCTTGTTTTTAGTCTTTTTGAGACAGGATCTCTCTGTAGCCCCAGCTATCCTGGACCAGGCTGGCCTTGAACTCACAGAGGTCCACCTGCTTCTGCCTCTGCTGGGATTAAAGGCATGAGCCACCACACCCAGCTCAAGAATGACTGGAATTTCAAATTAAAATGCTTTCAGGGTAGTATTCCTCTATGAGTCAGTACCTGAGTTTTATTGACTGAGACATTATTTTTACCACCTTTTTAAAATATAGGAGATAGGCAATGCCAGAATCAGTTGTTGGCTGGCGATGGAGAGTCAGCTGTAAGATGGTCTGATTGTCACTCTTAAATCTGATTCTCCAGCTCTCAGTATGGTTGTCATTGTCATCTGCCTTCGGGTGTTGCTAAGCAGCATTTCACTACAATCCTGCTGAGAACACTTGCAGCTGCCTGTCAGCTCTGACTTACGGTGTCTGTTTAATGAGAATTATGCTCCTGATGCTTGTCCTGGTCTTCAGTTCACTGACCCCGTGTTGCTCGGCAGGGTGATTTGTTTCTCTTGTGTTTATATCCGTTTCCTGAAGACTTTTCATCCAGACCTTATGTTTTTGTCTCAGGATGCTTGTTAGAAGGGGAAACGGTCTAAAACTGATACGACTTGAGCTTTTGCACTTACCTCCCTTACTCCTAATTAAGGAACAATGGAGCTAGGCTGGTACAAAATTATTTGACCCATTCAATTATCTTTCCCTAAGATTACAATGTACCAGAACAAAAAGATCCACAAAGAAGCATCAGCTTGCATTTATAATCTCAGTGCTGGTGGTGATGTTGGTATGTTATTTTGAAGCATATATTGAATAAACAAAATAAGTTAGAAGTCATTTTGTTGATAATTGTAGGAATGAAGATTTTTTAGTATAAGAAAAACTTATCAAAGAACTAGCATAGAAATCCTATGCCTTTGAATTTTAATGGGAAATACTAGTATGAACTCTTGATTAATGTTTCTCTTTTTTAAAAATGGACATTTCCTAATGTGGCTCACTGTCAGTGCCAGGATACAATGACAGCCAGCAGCAATCGTATCTTTAGGTCCAGAGTGCAGCCTATAAATACCATTTTCTACTGAAAGTACTCAGAGCCCTTTGGGATAAAGGTTGATTTGAGATCTGAGGTAGAAATCGCACATTATAAGCTTCAAGGCAGCTTGATGTGCCCAAGCACAGGGAAGCTTTCTGAGTTTAATGGGGTCATGTCAGTAGCAGTCAGGAGCCAACTTGAAGGGGCTCTCATCACAACAGACAGGACAATTGCAGCATTAAGAAGACTAATGCCTGTAGTAGATTAAGACGCATCAAAGACAGGAAAAAAGGCTATAAAAAGCCAGACCGGATTCTTGGGAGATTGTTAGGGATCTAGCCTTTATTTTGTAAATTGATAATCAAAGGGAATGAAGAAAGCGTTTGTCTCTCCTTTCCTCTACTAACTAATCAAGTAAGCCATGAAGGAAAAGTTTCCTTTATAGGCAAGTCATAGGGCTGGGAATGTAGTATACAGTTGGTAGAATGTCCTTTGGAAGAATCACAGGGGAAAAAAAGTTAAAAGAGAACTAGAAAGTTACATTTTGCAAACCTCTAATGAAGTAATAGATTTATCTAACAGTCATCAGTGCCTGCCAGGATGTTAGAAGGACTGGGCACTCTGTGAGGACAAAAACAACCCCAAAACCGATTGCCTTCCCCAAAGTATAAGAATGTTCAAATTTGAAAGAATTTTTAATAATTGTTCTGTTTTATTTTTTGTTTTTTGGTTGTTTGGAGACAGTTTCTCACTGTGTAACCTTAGCTGGCCTAGAACTCTAGGTAGACCAGGCTGGCCTCAAACTCACAGAGATCCCCCATCTGCTTCTCAAGCTCCTGTGGACCACCACACCTGGCATTTATTTTGTTTTTGCTTAACTTGTATTAATTATACATGTTAGTGTGGCGTGCTTATTATTGAAAGAATTTTATAGTGGATATCTTGCACCTACTTCCTACATAGATGTTACATTAGAATCTTGTTATGCTTCAGCACAGGCTTATCCATGCTTTCATCCCTCTGTCCGTCTTGTTTTTCATGTCTGTTCAGTGTTATGCAGATGGCAGTGTACACTGCTGCGTATTTCAGCGTGGACTGATCAACCTTACTATAGGTAAGAGGGAATTGTGTGCTTCCTCATACAATGCAGTAGGGAGAATAGAGCCCTTGGGAAGGATTCTGCCCCCCCAACAGAAACTTGAATCTAATCAAGGATATTCAGAGGATAAGGCAGTAAAGTAAGCAGAGCCATGAGGACACCATCAGCCAGATCCAGAATGAGGGACATCTACAGCACACATGACTATTTCTTCATCAAATAAATGGCATTAAAAAAAGGAACCAGATCCAGGTTCAGACAAACTCTGGGGACTGGAGAGATAGCCCAGTCAGTAAGGTGCTTGCCACACCAGCATAAGGGCCTGAGTGTGGATCTTCAACACCCACATAAAAAGCTAGACTATAACCCTGGGTGCATCTGTAACCCCAACCCTGGGATAGGGTATGGCTGAGACTACCTCTGAAGCTCACTGGCCAGCCAGTCTAGCCAATTGGTGAGCTCCAGTTTCAGTGAGAGACCTTGTCTCATAAAGTGAGAGCAATAGAGGAAGACACCTACAGTCACTCTCCATCCTCAACCTGCATACACATGTGGACATACATGTATACAATACATACACACACACTAAACATTTTTAAAATTTATCTATTTTTATTTTATGTGTATGAGTGTTTTGACTACGTCTCTGTAAGTACACCCATGTCATACAATGCCTGCAGAGTCCAGAAGACGGCATTGGGTCCCCTGAAACTGGAGTTACAGATGGTTGTCAGCCACCATGTGGTGCCGGGTTTTCTGCAAAAGCAACCAGTGCTCTTAACTGCTGAGACATCTCTCCAGCCCCACAAAAAATGTTTGAAAACCAACTGTATGAACATTTTTATAATAGTCATGGACCAAGCATTAGAAAATATTGAGGAATTCTTATTGGGTATAATCACATTATGGCCTTTAATCCCAGGACTCAGGAGGCAGAGGCTGGCAGATCTCTGTGAGGTCATGGCCAGCCTAGTCTCCATAGTGAGCTCCAGGCCATATGTCAGTCTCCTCACCCCCACCCCCACCCTCCCCCCAAAATTCCAAAATAAACAGATCTCCTTACCTGTAAGAAATGCATGTAGAAGTATTTATGTATAAATTTATGAATAGTCAATAGAGTATACTGGGATGGCACTCTATCTGTTTGAGTTTAGAGAGAGACTCGACATGCAGGCATCTGTCTACTGACCAGGTCCTGCACCAACTCCCAGGTTCTTTCATTCCATGGTTATGTCTTGAGCTCTATGCCATCTACCCTTCTAGGTACCAAGGACACAGCAATGAACAAAACAGACACATGTCTATGCTACCATGAGGTTGACATTCATATGAGGGGAGAGAGAGAATAAGAAAACAAAGGGTGTCAGATAGTGACAATTTCAGTATGTGGTATGTCAGATGGTGATCGTTTCTGGAGAGGAAAATAAAACAAGGAAGGGGGGTAAGTGACTGATAATGGAGAGCTACACTGAGATTACTCTTAAGCAAAGTTGGAGGAAGTTGGGAACTATTGAGATGCCTAGTGGGAGGGTGTCCCAGAGAGATCATGCATACTCAAAGTGTAGCCAGATCATCAAGGAGCCTATTGTCAATGCAGTGGAAGGAGCAAGATTCCTTGTTCTCTGCCCTTTCGGAAAACTACATCCTTTGCATGCTGCTGTCCTTGGATCACTATAATCAGCAGAGCAGAAATGATTCTTCATGGTGTTTGTTTTTTAAGATATTAATTTTGTGTGTGTGTGTGTGTGTGTGTGTGTGCGACATAAGTAATATACTCATTATAAGCATAACGCAGAAGTGTACAATATAAAAAGTAGGAGTTTCTGGTTAAAGATAAACATATTGAACATGTGCTTACCTGTTCCTCTGGAAACCACAGGGACCAACAGAGCAGGAGGAGAGTGAGAGTAGGTAAAAGACAATAGTCAAGCTGGAAACTACAGGAACGCAGCTGATTGGTAACCTGAGAAGTTAGAAAGCTGAATGTCTACATGGAGAGAAGAAGCAAACATTCTGCCTCAGTAAAGCTATTCAGATAAAAAACAAACAAACAAAAAAACTGAGGCAGGAGAATCTCCACAAGTTCAAGTAGAGCCTGAGCTACATAGTGAGAGTCTGTCTCAAAAAAATAAAAATTCAAGCCCTTCCCCCTAGTAACAAGAACAAAAGAAAAAGGGAAAACAGGAACAAGTTATTTCTGACTACAGAAGCCCTTGAGGACCAGAGGCATCATTTAGGTGCTAACGATCACGGTCCTCTAAAAATAAAATATTTTAGCAGGGCGTGGTGGTGCACGCCTTTAATCCCAGCACTCGGGAGGCAGAGGCAGGCGGATCTCTGTGAGTTCAAGGCCAGCCTGGTCTACAAAGTGAGTTCCAGGCCAGCTGGGGCTACATGGAGACCCTGTCTCAAAAAGACAAAAAAAATAAATAAATAAATTTATTTTATTTTATATGTATGTTTTGCATGAATGTGAGTGCACCACATGTGTGCAGTACCTGCAGAGGCCAGAAGAGGGCATTGTATCTCTTGTAACTGGAGTTATAGATGGTTGTTAGCTCTCATGGAGGTGTTGGGAACTGAAACCTGGTCTTCTGCAATAGCAGCCAGTGCTTTTAACTGCTGAGCTGCCTCTCTAGCCCTGATTTTTTATTTAAAAATTTTTTTATTTATTAATGTGTGTGTGCATGTGTGGGTATATGTATGTGTGTGTGTGTGTGTGTGTGTGTGTGTGTGTGTGTGTGTGGCACTCATGCGGAGGTCAGAAGAAAACTGTGGAGTTGGTTCTCTCCTTCTAGCTTTAGGTGGGTTCCAGGGATCAAACTCAGGTCTGGCTTGCATGGCAAGTGCTTTTATCCACTGAGCCATCTCACCGATCCTAGAGGTTTATTTTTTAGTAAGTGCTGAATTCAAAGGACTCTGAATTTGGGTGGGAGTAACAAATTGAAAACCAGGAGGCTTATCCTGCACAGATACGCCCTGTCTCATCTTTCTCCACAGGATTCTGGCTCTACTGAGTCAACTCCTTGTAATTACTTCACTCTTTATTAATAACATTAGGTATTTACTATTTACCAGGCACCATTCTGAACACATGACAGGTTATTAACTCATTTAATCCTCTTAATGATCCTGTGGAGATGTATAAACTTGCTGCCAAAATGCTGACAACTGAGTGGAAGGGGCTGGAGGCCTGATTGTTGTCTGTGAATTCCAGCAACCTCCTCAGAGGTGCCGAACTGAAGGAACTCTGACTCAGGAGGCAGCAAACTGAAAGTTTACCTGAGTTTAAGAGCTCTGTCACCCCTTACCTCTTCTTAAGCTGGCAGACCCACCAGAATCACAAGAAATGGGAGGCCAGGGGATGAGCTGCCAGCCGGATGGTATTACAGGAACATAATCCACATGCACATTGACATAATCCAGCACATAGAAGGTGGGAGGATCAGGAATTCAAGGTTATTCTTGACTGTCTAACTAGTTGGAGGCCAGCCTGGGCTACATCAGACTCTGTCTCAGCACCCCTCCCCCACCAAAAACATAAACAGGAAGGAGTTTGGAGGAAAGGGTATTTTGTTGATGACATACTTGATAGCACTATTCATAATTAACTGCTCCCGGGTTTTAGTCTTGTTTTGTTCCCATGCATACAGACGTAGCAAGTATCTTTGTTCCCTTTTTTATTTTTGGTTCTATGAAACAGGCTCTCCCTGTAGCCCCAGCCATCCTGGAACTCACTATGTAGGCCAGGCTGGTCTCAATCCAGATCACACAGAGATCTGTCTGCCTCTGCCTCCTGAGTGCTGGGATTAAAGGCATGTGTCACTACACCTGGCAGGAAGTTCTTCTCTTAAAAATAGGATCATAATATTTGTTTTGCAACTTTAAAAAACACATTCTGGAGAGGAAAGCAGGAAAAGTTGGAAGGCTAGATGAATAGTTAAAGCAATTTTATAATACTCATGCTGATTAGAAGCTAAATGAGAACAAGACACCTTTAAAACAGCTTCTGGGAGGCAAAAATAGATGGCCCAGGATGGTGTATCAGTAAGGCCAGGGTTAGAGAGGGTGGTGAAAATTGCCAGCATTGTTTCTTGTAATACATGGAACATTTCAGTCATGTCCAGCTTCCTGCCCTGTTCCTGAAGACAAGTATTAACAGGTCATTCTCCTGACTTTAAGCTTGCAGCAAGCATTCAAGCACAGCATGTGATTTGTCCAGAGAGTTAAACATGCAACCTTGCATGGTGTTTAGAGGTTTATTATGACCTAGCTCAACCTTCCCATTTTCAAAATGATATCTCCCTTTTGAGCCATTAATCCTAAATATACATGTGTGCATGTGTGTACGTGCGTGAATGCGTGTCTGCTGTCGTTTGTTCAAAGGTGTTTCTACTTAAGGTGATTAATCCAAGCTCAGTTCAAATCATGCTGACCAAATTCATTCCATTTAAAGGTTAGCTGTTAGCCTAATGCTATATAAAATGTTATGTATGAACAATGTTAAATCTGTAGAACTATCTGAGACTTAAAATATGACTTTGGATCATTTCTATAGATTGTTTACGAGCACTGACTGCTAAATAAACTTGGGCATCTCCTCTTCCGTTCATTACCTACTAGAATTAGATTGTCAAATGTGGGGGTGAAAATTCCCTAAGGAAGACATTTCCTTCAGATACTATCTGAGATGGTCAGGAAGTACTATTTATTTTTGTGTATGAATATGGTGTGTGTGTGTGTGTGTGTGTGTGTGTGTGTGTGTGGTGCATGTGAAGGTCAGAGGTCAACCTTGTGTGTTAGTCCTTACCTTCTGCCTTGGTTTTGAGGCAGGGTCTCGCTGCTTGCCACATACTCCAGGCTGACTGGTCAGATTCCGGCAGATTCTCCTGTCTCTACTTTTCATATCACTGTTGGAGTGCTGGAATTACAGACACGCACCACTATGTCCACCTTTAACACAGGTTCATCAGGCTTTCATGGCAAGCACTTTTACTTGCTAAGTCTTTTCCCTAGCCAGAAATTAATGTTTTTAGAGTAGTTTTAGGTTCACAACAAAATTGTACAGTAGACACAGAGGATTCTCCGGTAATCCTGTGCTTACTTATCCATGGCCTCCCCATTATTACTATCAGAATGACATCTGTATTATAATTTTTCTTTTTTGCTTTAGTGTGTGTGTGTGTGTGTGTGTGTGTGTGTGTGTGTGTGCTGAACCCTTCCACATACTAGGCAAGCAGTCTACCACTGAACTACATTCCTGGCCCCTTCGTTGTAATTCATGAATCCACTTGAACATATCATTATCTCTCAGAGCTCATAGATTACATTAGGATTCATTCTGTTGTTGAACAGTTGATAGGTTTGGACAAACTCATCATGACATGTGTCTACCACTCTGGTATCTTGCAGGATTGTTTTCCTGTCCTAACCATCCTCTTCTCCACCTAGTCTCCTGTCCCTCTCTGTGGCCTTCCAGATGGGCCTCTTTCCCTTAGTGATATTTCCCCTCAGTATTCCTCCATGTGTTAATAGCTCATTTTTAGTGTTAGTTGTCCATTGTCTTTATGAACCAGTGTATCCATTTATTTTATGAAGGGCATCTTGGTAATCACTAAGCTTTGGCAATTATGATTAGAATTGCTATTAAACAACCATGTGCAGGTTTTTCTGTGGACATAAGGAACATAAGTTTCCCATTCCTTTTTTAAGAGATGGGATCTTGGGACTAGGGGGTTTCTTGGGTCTTTTTGAGACAGGGTCTCTGTGTAGCCCCAGCTGTCCTTGAACTCACAGAGATCTCCGCCTCCCGAGTGTTGGGATTAAAGGCATGTGCTACCATGCCAGGCTCCAGACGGGTTTTTTGCTCAATAGAGCACTTGCCTAGCATGTGCAAAGCCAGTTCAGTTGCCAGTACCGAAGAAAAGAAAACGGAAAATTTAAAAAGCCATAAATAATGAATACCTGTAATCCTAGCACTTAGGTGGAGGTGGGAGGATCAGAGGTTCAAGGCTGTCTTCAACTGTATATGGAGTTGGAGGCCACTGTGGACTACATGAAATCCCATCTCAAAAGACCAATAGAGTGCTTGCCTAGCATGCAGGAAGCCCTGGGTTTGACCCCCAGCACCACATAAATTGGGTACGGTGGCCTACACCTATGATTTAAGCACTCGGAGTTAGAAACAGAAAGATCAGAAGTTCAAGGCCATCCTCAACTAAATAAAAAAGTTCCGGGGGTGGGGGGGGTGAGAGAAAGAATGAATTATGATTATGCATGTAAAACAGTTTAGGTGCTGGGAGTGGGGGGTGCTCTGAGAGCTATAGAAGCTCCTGCTCCACTCTCATGCCGCCCTCTTCATCTCTTCTGTGGCTGCCACTGTATCCTTCAAAACATCCTAGAAATAAACAGGTAAAAGGAACTCAAGGGAAACAAAACAGAAACCCCGGTAGCAATTGTTATGTGCTGATGGTGTGAAGATGACAGTGTAGGTATATGAGGTTCGGATTTTACATTTGTTTCTTAACTACTCACTGATTCTAATTTCCCTTCTTTGGTAGGTCATGGACTTTGTGGCAGCAACACTGCACAGAGCGTGTGCAAGCCTGGTCCATGAGGCAGAGAGCACCGTGGAATCACAGACACTGAGCATGGCCATGGGGCTGGTGGCTGTCATGCTAGGAGGAGCTGTTCAGGTGAGTTGTAGATATAAACTAAACGTGAATGGAGAATGGAGGGGGCAGGAGGGGGGGTGCGGAAATACCTGCTGCTTCCCTCCATAAGAGGGAAAATAAGAATGGATGTTATACCTAGGAGAACCCGGATGAGCAAGTTGGTTATTAATGAGAATTGTTTCCAAAGTAGAGGACCATTGCACCACTTTCACATGTGCCTTAGTGGACTTCATTGTCAGAAGGCAGGGCTCTCTGTTGCTAAGTAAAAGTTTGATCTGGAAATATCAGGCATGATGTTTTGCATCTGAGGCAAAAATTAGATTCTTTGGCTCTTCTTCTCCAAAAAATCAGTGGGAAAGCCTCAGAAACCCCTGGTTGTTCCTGCATCTGTTTTGCATAGCTTTATTTTAGTTCAGGATCCACTTTTTAGCCCATTCTGTGCAGCATGCCTAAGCCTGCTTTCCTTCCTTCCTTCCTTCCTTCCTTCCTTCCTTCCTTCCTTCCTTCCTTCCTTTCTTTTTTCAACCCTCCCTCCCTCCCTCCTTCCCTCCTTTCAGTTATCAACTGGCCTGAAATTTGCTGGCCTCAAACTCATGGAGATTCACCTATCTCTGCTTCCCAAGCTAGGATTAAAGGCATGCCTGGCACAGTCTTTTTTTTTTTTCAAAGACAGGGTCTCTGGCGCTCACTATGTAGACCAGGCTGGCCTCTATCTCACAGAGGCTCACCTGTCTCAGCTTCTGAGTGCTGGGATTAAAGTCCTGAGCCACCATACCCAGCTGGCCCTGTCATTTTTAAGTGTTTTGTTTTGTTTTTGTTTGAAGCAGGGTCACACATAGTCTAGGCTGGCCTTGAACTCACAGTGTACCCAAGGATAATATTGAACCCCAGATCTTCCTGCTTCTACTTAACAGGTGCTAAGATTACAGGTGTGTGCCCTTATGCCCAACCCAGTTCATATGTTTTCATAGTTAATTTATAGTTAAGATTTATTTTTACTTTTAAATTATGTGTATGTGTGTGTATCTATATTTGGATATGTACACTTGAGTGCAGGTGCCCTTCGAAGCCAGAAAGAGGGCACTGGGTCTCCTGGAGCTGGAGACACAGGTGAATGTGAGTCACCTGGTATAGGTACTGGGAACTGAACTAGAGTCTTCTGCAAGAGCAGTAAGCACTCTTAACTGCTGAGCCATCTCTCCAGCCCTAATTTATAATTTTAAAATTTATTCTTTCAAACATTATTGGTGACATACTTGCCAGGGGCCAGATCCTGTGCTAAGGATCTGGGAATTAGCAATGGACAAGATAGACATGGCCTGTGCCTCATAACACAGTCAGTAATGACACAAGTCACACACAGGACTAGTCAAAACAATATGATTATAATTAGAATTGAATGGAATGCCTCAAAAGAAGCCCTGGAAGGTACCAAGAGACCATGACATCTAACCCAGGCTGAGAGAGTCTCCTGTGAACAAATTCGATTTAGCCTACGACTTTAAGGATGAATAGGAGTTAGAGAGTGTGTATATAATACAGATGGAGGAGACCCTTTGAATTAAAGAACTGTAACAAGGGCTCAAAATGAGGGAAGAGCTTGGTTTCTTGAGACACTGATAAAAGGTCAGTGGAGATTAATTGTAGAGGTCCTGGGGACAAGTGCTGGCAAAGGGAAAGGACAGGGCTGGATCTTGCTTGTGAGAGCAACTGGTTAACTGACACATGAAGTTAGGAGACTGTAAGAAAACAGAATAGTCTTAGTGCAGGTATGGCATCCATCCAGCTCAGTACACATGAGTTAGGGCGCCCACTCAGGGTGACTTTTGAGTTTAAGCATTCAAGTCTGATTTCATTATACATACACAGAGAGAGAGACACACACAGACACAGACACACACACAGAGACACACACACACACACACACACACACACACGCACATATATATATGAACTTGCTTCCCTCTAGTCTGCTTTTTTCCCTCTCTGTGGGGCTCAAACACGGGCCCTTCCACTACCCCTGTGCTACATCTCCAACATTCTATCAGGCCTGTTCAACCTGCATCCCACTGGCTGCATATATTCCAGAATCACTATGAATGCCACCTAACACATTTGTGGACTAAAGCATTGTGCCGTCATGTCAAAAGGCTAGACATTCCTGACTATCTTTCAAGAGAAAAAGAATTTTATCTGGCTTGTTGTCAATGTGAAACCCATTTCTTTCTTTTCTTTTTTCTTTTTTCTTTAATTTTATTTTTTATTTTATGTGTATGCATGTATTGCCTGCATGTAGGTAAGTGCACCCATGTCATGCAATGCCCAAGGAGGTCAGAAGAGGCTGTCAGACTGGAGTTATGAACAGTTGTTAGCTGCCATGTGAGTGCTGGGATTCGAACCCGGGCCTTCTGCAAGAACAACCAATGTTTTTAACCGCTGAGCCATCTCTCCAGCCCCAAAATCCATTTCTTAAGAGATTTGTTTAGCGCTCCTAATTTCTTATTCCCCATGTCATTTGAAAAAAAAAGTTTTGGATGATGTTGCGAGATCTGGCAAGGAAAGTTCACAGGTGGAGTAGCTTCAGTTGGATTGTTACTGGATTAAATGAGCTTATTGATTTTTGCTTTTCTGGCTGAGAATTAATTTGGGTAGTCTTTGTTCTGTAAGTTGATAGTGTAGGTTTGTTTGTTTGTGTTGCATTTCCTTCTCTAGCATGTATTTCAGATACATCCTAAATGGAAAATGGCTCATAGAAATCATTTCTCTTTCTAGGAGCCATTGTTGGGGGCTGGTTGTGTATTTTGGCCATGTACTAAGAAACTGCCTCCTGTAACTGCAATGCTTGCCTATCCCTGCGCTGTGATAACTGTACAGCTCTTGTCGGTCCCTGCCCCGGGAGGCACCCTGACTCATGACTACATCCTGGGCTCCTCTGACTTTGCAGTTTAAGCAAACACGTCACCCCCTTTACTTTTGCCCTAGATCTGTTCTTTTTTTTTTTTTCATGCCTGATTCACGCATTTGTAAGTAGCTTCTTAGTAATGCAGGGTTTTGTCTTTATTTGCAGCAAAGTCATGCTTGCAAATTGTAGTGCTGGTTGGTCATTGTCATGCTGCCTTTGCTCTAGGCTAGAACACCAAGCTCTGCCTATTCTGTTAGGAGTCATTGTTTTGGCTAATGAAACAGAATCTAACAGCATCTGGACCTTTTTTTCTTTCCTTTCTAATTTGTGTGATTTAGGTGATTATTAAAGCATCGTGTCTGGGAAGAGGAGTTAATTTGGAGAAAGTGTAGGTTTAAGACTGCTAACAAGACAACTGTAATTCCAAACTCATTTTCTAAATTTCAGGGTTGGTCATCAGTAAAAGTATTACGTTGGTAAGTCTTCCTTGTCCCCTCAGGAAGCAATTTCTGCTTGATGTTGCAGAGGCCATGGGTCCTCCACAGCCCTGCTGCATGAAGCTGAGCAGAGCATTCTAGACCTTTAGAAAAAAACTGAAACCATGAAGCCATATTCTTCCAGGGCAGCAATAGAACATGTCTGTTAAACGCTGGACTCCTAATCATTACTGAGACCAAAGATGCTTCTCCTTAAAGGGACAGGGATCTTTAGCTTGCTCTTACACCATACTATTTAGATCTTAAGTTTTGCTTTTGCCAAAGGCCATTGTTTAAGCTCTTCACTAAAAAAGTTGCCCAGGGGCTGGATAGATGCCTCAGTGGTTAAGAGCACTTGCTGCTTTTACAGAGGACCCAGGTTTGGTTCCCAGTACCCACATGGCAACTTAGAACTCCAGTTCCAGGGGTTCTGACACCCTCTGTGGGCTCCAGACACATCCATGGTGTACATACATACATGTCAGCAAAACTCTCATGTGCATTAAAAAAAAAGTTACCCTGAGCGTGTGGCTGTGTTTTAGGTATAGTTATATATCAGAACTGCAGCAAACATCAAGATGCAGGTGGAATGGCAATGAGCCAACTAGAGATGGGGAAAGTAGAGAAGCCATTGCTGGGAAGTCTTTTTCATTTAACAGAGTGAGCTGGCTGGCTTCACTTCTGTGCTAGATGCTATCCTTTCCCCCCACACCGAGCTGGTGTTGGGCACTCTGGAATTTCATGCTATTATACACAGCTCCAATCATTCTTAATTATTGTTGCCTCTCTAGCAGGGATTTCCTTATTTCTGCTATTGTTAATGAACTTGCCAGAGCAGGTAGTAAACCATGTGGATAGATAAAGAAATGGCAGGAAGAATAAAAGAAAGGGAAAGTGTATTTTTAACTAAGGAGGTATAGTTTGTTTTGTTTTAATGTTATCAAAAGGCTTAAGCTTTTAAAAGTTTAGACAATACCATCTCCCTTAATGAACAACCTTCAGATCTCGATGGCACTCATGGGTGTGTTGTGAATGTTAGTCATGTGTCCCTAGAGGGGACGGAAGGCCATACTTAGTATTTTCACAGGCATGTTTGCTTGTTATTCTCTAGGTAACCCAAATGTTTCTCAGAATTGCAACCATTTATATGTAGGTGGTCAAATTGCCTAAAAAAGCCCTTAGAGACCTTAGTACTTTCAAATTCACAGCTGTGCACGGCACCACGGCACCAATTCACAGCTCTTTTTTTCTTTTTTTTTTTTTTTTAAGTGCTGGAGTAGAATCAAGACCTTACGTGTGCTAAGCTACAACTCTACCATTGTGCTACACCCCTAGCTTTGATTTTGCACCTTTGTATGTGTGTTAGTATGGTGACTGTGCATAGGTATGGACTGTGCATAGGTGTAGAGGCCAGAGGAGGATATCGGGTGCCCTGATTGATCACTCTCTGGTTCTTCCTTTGAGAAAGAGTTTCTCATTGAACCTGAAGCTAGGTTGGCAGCAGGCCCCAGAGATCCTTCTGTCTCCTCCCACACATACCAGTGCTGGGATGACAGGCATGTGTGCAGCCATGCCCAAGCTTTTTGTGTGGGTGCTGGGGATGTGAACTCAGGTCCTCATGCTTGTACAGCAAGTGCTCTTGCCTATTGAGCCATCTCTCCAGCCCCTAATTTTACATATTTTCAAAAATAATCTTTTTGGGTCAGCAAGATAGCACAGCAGGTAAAGGCACTTGCTACACAAGCATGGTGACCTGAGTTCATTCCACCAAACCCGTGTAAAGGTGGAAGGAGAGAACCAACTCCAAAAAGTTATCCTTGACCATAATATCCAGACTATGACATGTGTACCTCCTCTGCCTCTCTCTCCCCCTCTCTCTCTCACATGATAATAAAATTTTAAAATGATCTTTCAGTTAGCTAAGGACAAGTTTTCTCCAATTCCTTTTCCTTTTGAGTTTAAGCCATTTATTTATGGAACTGTCTTTATTATGTTCATTTGTAGATATTATTAAAAGTTTTAGAGCCTTGTGTAATTTTTTTTTTCAGACAGAGTCTCACTATGTAGCCCTGGCTGGTCTAGAACTCGCTATGTAGACCAGGCTGGCCTAGAACTCACAGAGATTCGCCTGCCTCTACCTCCCGAGTGCTGGAATTGAAGGCACATGCCATTATGCTTTGTTTTCACTTTTTAAATATAATTTATGTGTTAAATTTAATTTATGAGGGTTTTGCCTGCAAGAATATAAGTGTACTATGTGCATGCACTGCCCACAGGGTTCAGAAGAGGGCTTTGAGTCCCCTGGAATTGCAGCTGTAGACAGTTGTTAGCCACCATGTGGTGCTGGGAGCCAAACCTGGTTCCTGTGCAAGAACAGCCAGTGCTCTTAACCACTGAGCCATCTCTCCAGCCCCTTTATCTGTTTTAAATCACTATAAATATGAAGTGCTTTCAGAGATCCAGAATCTTAGCCAGGCGTGGTGGTGCATGCCTTTAATCCCATCACTTGGGAAGTAGAGGCAGATGGATCTCTGGTGAGTTCCAGGCCAGCTGGAGCTACAGGGAGACACTGTCTCCAAAAGACAAAAAAAAAAAAAATTCAGGATCTTTCAAGACTACCAACATCTAAAAACCGATTAGAAATCAGTATTTTTTGAAAGATTTATTTATTTATTTTTTAGTTTATGTGTCTTTGAGTGAGTGTATATACACATGTGTACGCATCTGTGTGTGGAGACTCAGAAGAGGGCATTAGGTAGCCTCCTGTATTACTTCCCACCTATTTCTTTGAGGCAGGGCCCCCCCTGAACTTAGGGCTCACATTTTCTCCGCTAGGCTGGGAGCCAGTGAGTCCCAGTGATCTACCTCCACCACTCGTGGATGGGGGGAGTGTTCCCTGACTTGTCACATGGGTGCTGGGATGGCAACTCCAGCCCTGATTGTGCAGCAAGCACTCCAGTCCCACAAACAGTACTGAAGGATGATTTTAGGTAAACATTTAATCTTTATGCCCCAAAACAAGACTTTTATTTTTCTTATTTATGTATTTATCTGTTTATTTTCTTTTGTTATTTTTTGTTGGTTTTGTTTTTGTTGTTTTTTAAAATATTTTATTATTTTTATTTTATGTACATGAGTGTATTGCCTGTGTGTATGTGAGTGCACCCATGTCATGCAATGCCGTGGAAGTCAGAAGAGGGCTTCGGATTCCCCTGGAACTGGAGTTAAGGATGGTTCGTAGCTGCCATGTGGGTGCTGGGAATCAAACCCCGGTCCTCTGCAAGAGCAGTCAGTGCTCTTAACTGCTGAGCCATCTCTCCAGCCCCATGTTTTTTTTTTTGTTTTATGCAAGCATGTCATCATATTGCACTGCAGCATGAGGTTTCACTGTTAAGTCCCTTGCCATTCATCACTTGCATTTTTTATTTTTTATTTTATGTGTATGCGTGTATTGCCTGCATATAGGTAAGTGCACCCATGTTGTACAATGCCCATGGAGGACAGAAGAGGCTATTGGATCCCCTGGGACTGGAGTTACAGACAGTTGTTAGCTGCCATATGGATGCTGAGATTTGAACCCAGGTCTTCTGCAAGAACAACCAATATTCTTAACCACTGAGCCATCTCTCCAGCCCTGTTTTTGTTTTTTAGATAGGGTGTCCCTCCAGCCCCAGCTGGCATGGAACGTGCTATGTTAAATAGGCTGGTGTCCATCTTACAGAGACCATACCTAGCTTTTTTTTTTTTTTTTTTGGTTTTTGGTCTTTTTGAGACAAGTTCTCCCTATAGCTCCAGCTGGCCTGAACTCACTTTGTAGACCAGGCTGGCCTTGAACTTGGGACACCCCTTCCTTAGCCTCCTCATTGGGATTATTTGCGTGAACCACCACACCTGATTAGAATGTGACTTCATGAGTCCACTTTTTCCTGTCTTCCAGTTTGTGACCTAGGTATATTACTTAGCTGTTTCATGCCCATTTCCTCCCTGTTTAAAATATAGCAACTAGCCTGTAGTCCGAGCACTTGGGAGGCAGAGGCAGGCGGATCTCTGTGAGTTCAAGGCCAGCCTGGTCTACATAGTGAGTTCCAGGACAGCTGGGGCTACAGGGAGACACTTTCAAAAAGACAA